ACGGTTACACGGTACGTCCTACTTCCGTCTCCTTACGTCGTTCTTCTTCTACTTAGTTTAACGTTAACCGTACGTCTACGAGTACTACGTCGTCGTCGTCTCTCTCTCTCTCTCTCTCTCTCTCTCTCTCTCTGGTGCTTGTTCTAATGTTTTAAAGTACCCGTGCAGACAATCGTGTGCATTCCAGTTATGGATGGAGTACTGGAGCTCGGCACCACCGAAAGGGTTTGTCTTTGTCATGCAACCACCTCTCTCTCTCTGTTTCTTTTTCTTTTATAAACATTAATATATTTTATTAAATCAAGTTTCTGCCCACATGGAGTTCAGCCGATCATTTTATATATATTAAAGTGTTGGCTATGGCCTCAAAAAAGTCGAATATTAGATAACGATCTCCTCCCATCTTTCTATTACTACAGAGAAAAGCTTGAGTTGTCAATTGTTTTGGTAAAACTTGATCTCTACGATTCACAGTCTTACGACATTACCTTCGATTCCTTACACTTTAGCGGGTTCATCTTTTCCCCTCAAAAATTCTACATTAGTATCAGAGCGAGCAAGGCTGTTTTAAATTTCGATTTTTTATGCGCGCTACTTTACTGCCCCTATCTTGAAGCTCATACATATTAGATGGTAAAGTTATTGTTCCTCCCTCTACATATCCATCGTATTTTATTGATTCGCACACCTCTTGACCTTAATCTTTATGAGCATTGTTTCTCTCTCTGCTGTTAACTAGAGGTTAAAGTAGCCGTGCGTTTTTCTTTTTTTTACCCACACAGAAGTTCACTATATTTTTTGCCAAGCCCTCCATCTCACAACCAAAGTTCACCTTTTGAATGTTTTTCTTTTTCATTAAATATCACAGTGAAAGTCACTGCATTTCAGTGAATTTCAGGGCTTTTCTTTTCTGGTTTTTAACTTTTGCCTAAAAGAATTCGCTTAAGTTTTTTCCCTGGAAACCTGGTGCACTTCGTAGGCACACACCTTAACCACTCGGCCAAAGCCAAGTAGTAATTCTCTTTTTAAATTTGACGGTTATAATAAGGAAAAAATAAATTTGCTGCTATAATTTTAACGATAGAAAGATGTTGATTAAATTTTAGAGAGAGATATGGAGTTGGCTGCTATAATTTTAGAGAGAGACAAAGACACATAATTGTTGCTGAAAATTAATGCATATTTTTCTTGGATTATTTAAAATTGTGATGGATACAATAACTATTCGAGTAAAGGTCTACATATCCATTGCTTGCATTTTCTTGGTTTATGATTTAGGGATATTTCTATATGTTTTATTTGTATCATAATTGTCATTGCCTTGCATAATTATCATATACTTTGGTCTCTTTAAGTGAAAAAATTTCATGATCTTGATTTAATGAACTCAACTTTTGTGATTATATCATGTCATATTTGTTGAAAATATCAAATATTATTATAGATGCTATCTCCAGTGCTAAAACATATTCATATGTTCGTGAAAATTATTCTTATGAGAGATTTGACATAAAGTAGTTTTTTGCCTTACTTTATTAGTTTTTGTTGTATAACAGTAGTACGAATATAAACTGTTCGAAAAAATTCTTCTTTGAGGTTGCAGCTCATTGAGAGTCAGCAAACCTATTGATTTAACTAGCAGACAACCATGTTCTTAAACACAATTGAATTTTTTAAACATTTAGGCATTATCTAAAATTTCAAATGGCATCTAGGCTAGTCATGTCCGAACTATCCAAACTTGAAAAACTCAATGGAACCAATTTTTCTATGTGGAAAATAAAATTTTGATATATTATCTTCCAAGATAGGATGGACTATGTTCTAGATACATAACCACCAATTTTATAGCCTAATGCCAATGGTAAAACCAGAAGGCGACTTGACAAATGGTTAGAATACGACAAAGTAGCTAGGACTACTATGTTGAGTTTTATGGAAGATGATTTAATTAGAAACGTTGAGGATCACACCACAACTCAAAGTATAATAGGTACCATATCTAAAAAGTATGAGACCACTTCTGAGACCCATGTGCAATTGTTATTAGAAAAATATAATTTTTTCAGCATAAAAACATCAGACTCAGTGACCAAGCAAGTCAATAAAATGACAGTGCTCGCAAAGAACCTTGTTGTGACCAAGAATTTAGTCCCTGATCTCATGCAAGTGTCCACTGTCCTTAACAGTCTCCCTCCATCTTATGAGCCTGTTGTAATCACATTAAACCATTCTGCACAAGAGATAACTATGTTGAATCTTCTCATGTACTTCAGTATTGACGCTAAGAGAAGAATGAGAAAGAAGTCAAATGAGCTCCATTTTGCCCAAAGTTCTTTTTAGATTCCCAAGAAACCTTACAATAATCAAAATAATACTAGGTAAATAGTAAATAGGAGAAATTTTAAAAATCATTAAAATAAGGTTGACAAGACATGTTTTTATTGTAAGGAAATTAGGCACATTAAGTTTCAATGTCCCAAGCTGAAAAAAAAAAAGAAAAAAGAACTAGAATAATAACAATGCTTGAAATAGTCGAGGACCAATGACGAATTCACATAGTTGAAGGAGATTACAGCTGGTAACCATCGTATTTATCTGAGAAATGACACCTACTATGATGTACTTGGTGTCCGTATTGTTAAGTGGTGTTTACCTGGAGGAACGAATCTCCTACTGATTGATATTTTGTATGTGCCCAATATGATGCGTAATTTGATTTCGGTTCCAAGGCTAGACGACAAGGGATATGAAATAAAGTTCAAGTCTGATCAAGTCACCATAGGGAAGCATTTTAGAGCATTGGTGTATGATACTAAAGTTGACAATTTGTACCGATTGAATATTAATAAAATTTTATCTCTTTCTAGTTATTTTGATATCTCTTTTGATGCTTTTGTATGTGCGGATAATTCATATTTATGGCACTCAAAATTATGACATATAAATAAAGATAAAATGAATCACATGGTTAAAAGAGGCTTGCTCCCCAATTTAGGAGAAAATGTATTTAAACCATGCGAGCCATGTATTTTTGGTACATTAACTAAGAAGTCTTTTCCTAAAAGGGAAAGGTCTAATGAACTACTTAGTATTGTTCACTCTGATATATGTGACCCATTAAATGTAAAAACACATAGAGGTATGAAATATTTCATAATATTTATCGATGATTATTCATGTTATGGATATGTGTACCCATATTAGTAAAAAGTCAGATGCATTAGAAACATTTAAAGAATATGAAACTGAGGTAGAAAATCAACTAGGTAGACGTATTAAAATTCTTTGAACAAATAAGAGAAGTGAGTATTGCTTCGCCTTATTTGCTGAAGTTTGTAAGGAGCATGATATAATTCACCAAACTATCATGCTATATGCACCACAACAAAATGGTGTAGCTGAAAGAAGAATAGAACTCTAATGAACATGGTTAGGTCCATGATGAGCCATCCAAATTTATCACCTAATTTTTTGGGTGAGGCTCTCAACACTGTAATGTATATTATTAATCATGTTCCAACTAAATCTAGAGACTTGACCCCATATGAATTATGGACAAGTAGAAAACTTAATCTTACTATTTTGAAAGTTTGGGGTTCTTGGGCACATATGCTTATATCCCCACAAAATATAGATAAATTACGAAGTAAAACTATAAATTGTTCTTTCATAGGTTATTCAAAAAATTCTAAGGGCTATAGATTCTACAACCATTATACTAGATCATTAATAGAGATCCGTGATGCTCATTTTCTAAAAAATATAGATGAATAACATACTTTAAGTAAGCCTATTGACTTACATGAAATTGTTAAAGATAAGTGTCTCAAAGACCCTATTTCTCAATCTCCCTTTACAATTGATGAGAATAATTCAATTGAATCTAGTGTATCGGATAGACCTAAAAGAACTAGAGCCCCACCTATAATTTTAAGCGAATTTTATGTGTTTATGGATGAAGATAATTATTCTTCAATGAGTGAAGATTCAATAGATGAATCTCAAAGCTACAATAAAGTTATTAGCTCACATGACCCAGTTGAGTAGACTCAAGCCATGGATGATCAACTTGGTTCTATTAAAAAAAATCAAGTTTGGGAGTTGGTTGACCTCCTTTAAGATAGAAAAGTCATTAGTTGTAAATGGGTCCTAAAAAAAAAGCTTAATGCAAATGGATCTATTGATAAATATAAAATTAGATTGGTGCCAAAGGATTTACGAGGCATAGATTATGTAGAGACTTATTTTCCAGTAGCAAATTTTTCATCTATTAGGATCATCTTAATATTAGTTACATATTATGATCTAGAATTATTTCAAATGGATGTTAAAACAGCTTTGTTGAATGGAGAATTAAAAGAAAATATATATATATAACAGCCAGAATGATATGTAATTAAAAGCCAAGAAGACAAAGTATACAAACTTAAAAAATCTTTATATGGTATAAAACAGTTATCTAGGCAGTAGTATTTTACGTTTCATAATGCAATCACTGAAATTGGTTATGTACCCAATAGGTTAGACCATTGTGCATATATCTAGAATAGTGATAGTAATTTTGTTATATTATTATTGGAAAACTCTTTCCAATGCCTATAGGTGAAAATGAATAGTGATTTTGCCTACCCTTATCACCATCCAAATTTCATCGCACGGTCACAGGTGTCTGGTAGTGTTTCATTTTTCATTTGTTTTTTTACAAATCTGAATTACTTGAAATTTGGAGCGTGTGAACATCTTAGTGAGACGCACCTAATAAAAATATGAAAAAAATAATTTACAAAATATAAATTGACCAAAATACCTCCATAAATTTTTGGGGTATTTTAGGT